GATTCTAAATTCAATTCTGAATGGCACACAACCCTGTGGTCTGTGGTCATACAGCACACTCTCTATTATTGTAAGCCGTTGTATTGTTTTCAGATATTTTCACCCATTCCATTAATATTTCAGAAAATATCAGTGACAATCTCACCACTCTGACTTGAATCTATAGTGTAACATCAATCAGCACTGATGTGCTGAAGGCATGCTGTGAAGAAATCCAATTACACTATTATCAACCCTCAGTGTCACATCCATAAAGTATCTGCAGTGTTCAGGCAAAATGTGAGAGCAAAAGAATGGTGGTCAACGCCAGCATGGGATGGATTTACATTTTCAGCTATAAGTTGATGAAATCAGGGAGAAAATACCTGTAGTGTCAGCATATCTTTTAAAGGATGTATAAATCAGCATTGGGAATACGCAGTGGGGAGGTGGAATTTATATCTGTGAAGTGGTCAGAAGCCATTACACACTTGCATTAGGACACTGTTTTGCTGCATGTTTAGGGACATCTTGAATTCCCTTCCTCCCTGACGCTGACTTGCAATCCCAGATGACAGCATTGCTTATTTTCTGTTCTGTCACCTCGTCTCCAAGGAGCAGACTGAAAACTGGGTTCAGGATGAGACAAGCCTGGAATGTCAGGTCACAAACTGGAGTCTGGGTGGCTACAACAGTCTAGATGTCTAAAAAGTCCATAACAGAGGCCAGTATTCTAGAAACGGAACACATTATATAATGGTTATATTTTGTATATTTTGTGCCGAACAACAGATCACTAAAAATATTTGAATTATATCTGTCTAAACACAAGATAACAAAGTAATCCAAATGTTTCTGATATATTAAGAAAGCAGTGCCTGATAGAAAAGGTTATATGAAAATGACTTTCTTCACCCCTTGCCCTCCTCTCTGTTGAGAAACACAGACTGAATGCTGCTTTGTTCTGCCTCAAAAATGTAAACAGCATGAACAGTGAAGCACAAAGATGGCATGGAATTTATTTAACCCAATAGTCATAAAAATTTGAATGAACATCGTTACTGCTCTTAATGCTAATATAAAGAAAGAGTGTCAACTTACTGTGGGTTCCGAATGTACCAGGCCATTATTATTTTATTAGATTGCTTTACACAGAGGAATGCATTTTCGCATTCCACTGCACTGCTTTTACATGGTATTTATATTCATATGTACACATGCACTAGATGGACGTGTTTGACCATTGCGCTTTCATCTCGCGCATGACACGCCGTTCTAAAAACGCAAGTTAAAATAAGTTTAACTTTTAGGCTACAAAAAGCTTGCGTTTTTTTGACACAAAAATGTGTTCTGTGTGAATGGTCCCTTAATATGAATAATTCCAAACCAAACAACAACTTTAGGAAAATATTTTAGGAAAAAGAAAACTTAAAAAAGAAGTATCACTATACCAAATTTTCTGTTTAAAGACTATTCTTATTTTATATGAAATATTGCAGTATTTATTATAAATAACGGGTCCATGTAAATCGTTATTTTGGTTGAAAAATGTATTTAAATTCATGCGTCCAAGTAGCCTAATCGTCTAATCGCTGACACTGATACTGCGAATATGCAAATGAGGATGTTAATCAAGGGTTTAGTAGCCTAATCTGTACAGTGTAAAACGTCAGTTTTTGAGTAGGCTATCCAAGATTAATTGTTAACCCCCTTTATGAGCAGTGTGAAACATGAAGCAAGATATCTCGGGGTTGCGTGGTATTTTTCCTCAAAACAGTTCAGTGGGAACTTGGTGCAGCCGATTCTGAAGATTTCAGTTGTCATGTCAATTACAGTGCTGACTGCCCACACCAAACACGAATCCCTAACCCTATCCGTAGCCAAACCTTAACCAATTAAATTAGACTAGCACAGGGTGGGATTTCCACTGAACTTCTGTGAAAGAAAAAAAAAACATGTCTCTGGGTTTAGAATGACCCAGGGTTAACTATATCAAGTGTGAAAAGCACGTTGCCATGGCTGACAGTATGTAGTGAACGCTACGAAAAACGTTACGGCCACTGGTTGGCGCCATTGACCAATCAGAATAGAGTATTCTAGAGCAATAATTCCAGTGTTGCCAAATCAGCGGTTTACCTCGCGGATTTGGGCTGCTTTTACACTGGGTTGTTTTTGTAGAACGCGGGTTGAAACGACCCCCGGAATGGGATTTCTTTCCCCAGAATGAGATTGGGCTAGTTTTGATTATTGGGCAGGTTTTGTTGTGGAGACCTGGCAACCCTGAGTAATTCCCAAATGGGGGTATACATACCCTGTAGAGGGGACGTGAGCAGGTTCCATGGGGTAGCTATATGACTGTACCAATCTATTTTTATGAACCACTGAACTTAGCATATAGGACAATTCACACTGAGCGACATCAGCCCATTTCACGACACGGTTTCTAGGCCGCAACGGGACATGTTATTGCGGACTTAAGGCCTTGATATTAGATCTCTATTAATTTATGCATATCCATGCTCTACATAAACTGGATTTTGTAACATGTAAGTGCGCAAAATATTCCTGTGCGCACACATTTTTTCTTGTGCGCACACGAAAGTCTGTATATTTTTTATTTTTGCAAAGGTCCCTTTAAGGCCTCCGTAATATTCGAAACCTAAATATGTGAAAAAAACTATAAGTGCTCATCTGCCGCCATCTATTGGTTATAGTGGTAATTTCACGTTGTTGTTTTTTTTTTAAATAAAAGTGTTTTTACATCAAATGTTGGATTTAAAATATTGAAATTTAGAATGTGTATTTATCCAGTCTTTTTTACCCACAACATTTGATTATTTGGTTTTATTTCGATGAAGAGTTGCTATTTGAGCATTACTGATGGGGTTGTGGGGGTACATAAAGGGGTAGTGAAAGGGGTAGTTCCAAAAATGAAAATTCTGTCAGTACTCACCCTAATGTTGTTCCAATCCCGTAAGACTTTCGTTCATCTTCAGAACACAAATTAAGATATTTTTCATTAAATCTGAGAGCTGGATCACTCCTCCATAGGGTTCTAAGGGATTGAAACTTGCTGGCCCAGAAAAGTTATTAAAGACATCTTTAAAATAGTCCAAGTGACTAGTGGCTAAATCTTAAGTTTATCAAGCAACGAGAATACTTTTTGTGCGCAAAAATAAAGACTTTATTCAACTATTCATTTCCTTCTCTGTAGGCCTTGAGTTAGTTCACATAGTGTAACAGCGCAGCACTTCTGTGTTGTACGTCACACGTAGGCTCACTATTGGCCGACGCTGGTCATGTGTGTGACGTACAACACAGAAGCGCTGCGCTGTTACACTATGTGAACTAACTCAGAGGCCCACAGAGAAGGAAATGAATAGTTGAATAAAGTCTTTATTTATTTTTTGCGCACAAAAAGTATTCTCTGCGCTTGATAAACTTAAGATTGAGCCACTGTAGTCACTCGGACTATTTTAACGATGTCTTTAATAACTTTTCTGGGCCGGCAGGTTTTAATTACAATAGAAGCTTATGGAGGAGTGAGACAGCTCTCAGATTTAATCAAAAATATCTTAATTTGTGTTCAGAAGATGAACGAAAGTCTTAGGGGGTTGGAACAACATGAGGGTGAGTAATTACTGACACAATTTTTTTTTTTTGGGTGAACTATCCCTTTAAGGTTAAAAAGTTTGGGAACCACTGTTCTAGAGCCGTTAGTATCCTAATAAAAACAATCCAGTTTTGATTTTACTGATTAACGTTTGACATCATGGGACAAAATTAATTTCTAGCAATATAAAAAGCAAAGGGGATAGAACTAGGCGCAACACATTTATTGGACAGATGCCTCCATTTTTCATGCCTTAAAAGCAGGTCTATTTTGAGCTTCCATTGGCTTTAATCTTGGGCTGAAAACACTTGACGTAGCTGCTCATCACAGTCGGTAAGAGCAAGCTCCATCCGGCTAATTCTTCTCAAGAAGTGTTTTTCTAAATAGAAGAGAGAACAGCTTTTCATTCCACTAAGAAGCAGATATTATTTCCCCCTCCATTCAGGAGATGGAGAGCTGTAGATTAGTGCTCCCACACACAAGGGTTTTAAAAGCCAATATCTACTGTGTCGTTGCTGAGCAACCAATTATCCAAGATTTGCACTTCCTCTTTGAATGTTGTTTGCTATTAATGTTAGGAATATATTTGGTTTATTCTAGGGCACTGACTGTGAAGTATGTCGAGATGAAGGTATGCCAGCTTGTTGCACAGCGAACATCAGAGAATTTGATTGCTGCAATGCTCAATTAATTATTAATCGTCAGATAAAATCTTTGATTAAAAGACAGAGGCATTTTCACAGTGTAAACTAATGCCAAAATTCACTCTGCCTCAGTGATGTGCTCAGCTATAACAATTTGGAAAAGGGTGAATGGTTGTAATGAATATTGCTAAAACACTTTCCCCATTCAATTTCAAAGACACTTACAGTATGATTAGAGAGAAGGAAGGAAGGAAGGAATGAAAAGGCAGATGTTCTGGAATTTCATCATTTGCCACTGAAGCAAGCAATTCATGCTTCAAGGAATTACTAGGACAGTCTATTCATGTACCCACACACATACTGAATTAGACTTTGCATGAGGACGAAGTACGAAATACTTTAATTAACACCAAATAACTATTATTTGCCCAAAATTTGGCCAGACATACACATTGCATAAGTTATGTTCTGGCCTGGATGTCAACACTTGAAATTGTAGATGGTGCAGGTGGCTGTTTATGTTGTAAAGTTTTAACCGATGACCTTTCTGACAGTCTCCGTGTAAATGTTGGCTGTAAATACAGAACATATTCCTAAATAAGCCTCAACTAGGAGATAGAAAAGCAAAGCCATGACTAAAAAAACAGCAACAGAGCTTTACTCTTGTCATTTTGTTAATAGGTCATAGCAGTTATTATGGTATATATAAATGAAACTACTATATTTTGTCAATTCTAGATTTCAAGACACATTTTAGGAGTAAATTCATTGCTATATGGCAAACTTTATTAGCAAATAAAAGGCAAAGCACAGCTTAAGTTCTCCCCTAGATATGCATCAAAAGCCAAGTGCCACGGCATTATTATGTATTTCCAATATTAAAATACAACCTCCACTAAGTGACAGCATTATATATTTCTATAGGCGTCAGCAACACAGATAAATGCAGCTAAAACTCTTTAAATAGGCTTAAATAGTGTCAACAGTAGACAACATGCTTCTTCTGCACCAGAGCTCCTTCTAGTGGTGATTCAGCAAAGCGTACAATTGACTTTAGACAAGAGTTCGCCAATTATCACCGATTTAAACTCAGCCTCAACCCCTGAAACAATCATGGTAATTACACCTCGACAAGAGACAAAACTGACTCTGTACCAGCACTTAATGGAAAACCTAATAAAATAGTACACAGTAGAGGGAAACAGGACAGCAGGAAAGGGAATTAGGCACAGCAGTGCTGCCCTCTAGTGGGCAGGAGTCTACAGTGAGGTTGCAGCAGGACGCCTCAGATGTGACTAAGCGAGCACCCATTGAAGAATGCTGGTGTCTTTCCCACCAGTAGAAATAAGATGACTGTCATCATGGAGAAAGGCAACGTTGGTCACATGGCTGCTATGCCCACCATAGACATGGCTGGGAGCCTGCGGATAAAGGGAAAAAATGTTTTACAGGAGTATGATTTGATTGTAGGGGTGTAACAATATATCACAATACAAAAACGCAACAATATGCATCATGGATAGTGACAATATGTATCGTGGACAGTTCCAAAATAAAATTTACTGTGTGAAGAAAATGAAAGTTTTCAGAGTTTTAGTGTCAGTACTACATTAAACTACTATATGTAATGTTGAATATAATGAATTATATTGCAATTGGGGGAATATTTGTGGGTCCTGATAATGCCAAATGTCTTATGTTATATCTATAAACGTTAAATATATCTAGTGAGTGACAAGCATATTCGTCTAAAATCATTCTGTATTTTCAGCTTCAGAATCATGAATATTTTAATTCTGGTGTCACCATGGTCCTGTGCATCAGCACGAAGTCCAACCCTATTCATTTACACCCAAAATGTAAAACCAAATTTAGCATTTTAATCAACAGTACATTTTTGGTTAACCTTTGATCATATGTCTTGGAGTATCGCAATAATATAGTATCGTGAGTTCAGTATCGTGATATGTATCGAATCGTGACATGAGGGTATCTTTACACCCCTATTTGATTGAGTGACAAATTTAGCAAAAAAGAAAAGAAAAACTCACCCTTGGCTGGGAACAGGGGTTAGAGAACAAGTGCACTTTGCCAAAATCATCAGCTGAGGCAAGGAGGTTATTGTCATGTGATCTGCATACAGCATTAATGTCTGTGCCATCAGCACCCTCTGGCCAGATCCCTTAAAATAAAACAAAGCAACAAAATATCATAAAATAAAAAAGAAAGGGACAAGAAGAAAAAAAAAACATTAATTTGACAATATCTCAAAACTATTATTTCATAGCCATTTCCAGGAAAATAATTTAATGGAAGATGATCTTTTTTTCTTTTCTTTTATGTGTATGGTGTGACTTACCAAACACATTGAAACCCAGCACACAGGTGGAGGTGGCCCACTCTAGATTACGCACTGCATCTGCACTAGTTACATGCTTCCCACTGGATGCTTCCCCTTTTCAACGGGAAACATGACACCAGCCATTAAAACAATGACATCTGAGCTCCATTCACTGAAAAAGCTGTTAGCTGAGAAAACAACTCACAGTATAAGATCTCATAGTCGCCTGAGTTGGTTACAATAAACTGGCTGTTGGTGGACCAGTCGAGATGAGTGACAAAGCTGGAGTGTCCCTACGGATGAAAGACATGGTATTAAATGAGCGCTAATGGTCCCTAATTAATTACCATTGAAATAGAGAGATTTTTGAAAAGATGCTGAAGTAATTTCTCTGTTAAACTCACAGTGCATTTGCCAACACGGCTGTATTTCCTGCCATTCTCAGTAACGGAGTAGATGTAAACAAAGTTGTCATGGGAACCCACGGCCAGGTACACCCCATCTGTGAGAAAATGTATTCTTTTTATTTCAAAGGTGACAGTTAAGACATTTTTAATGTAAAATAAAAATGCAGTCCTTTTGAACTTTCTATTTATTAAAGAATCCTGAAAAAAAAAAAAAGTATGACCGTTTCCACAAAAATATTAAGCAGCAAAACTGTTTTCAACATTGATAGTAATAAGAAATGCAACAGTTTGTTTTGTGATGGTTGTTCTTAAGTCCCTTGTTTGTCCTGAGCAGTTAAACTTCCCAATGTTCTTCAGAAAACTCCTTCAGGTCCTGCAAATTCTTCAGTTTTCCAGCATCTTTTGCCTATTTGAAACCTTTCCAGCAGTGACTTTATGACTTTGAGATCCATCTTTTCACACTGAGGACAATTGAGGGACTCAAACACAAATCACAACTATTAAAAAAAAGGTTAAAACATTTACTAATGCTCCATAAGGAAACAAAATGCATTAAGAGGCGGGGGGTGAAAACTTTTGAACATGAAGATGTCCAAATTTTTCTTTTGTTTAAATAATATATATATATATTATATATATATATATATATATATATATATATATATATATATATATATATATATATATATATATATATCTTCAAAAAAAAAGTTTTTACCCCCCTCAATATTGTCATCAGTGTGAAAAGATAGATCTCAAAATCATACAGAATAACCATCACAAAACAAAAAACAGTCGTGGATCACCCAGGTAACGACACAGTATTAAGAATCAAGGGTTTTGGTCTTCTGGACTATATGTAAACATCTTTTATATAAAATATCTTATTCAGGACAGTACTAAATAAAAAACAACATGTATGATCCCTCTTATTTTGTTAAAATTAACATTTCGCAGATTCTACAATTTGTTTGTAAACTTTGAGCACGACTGTATGTTTCATATATATATATATGCATGTATTTCGCTACAGTGAAAATAGGTTTAAGAGCCAAGAAACAGTGAATGAGGAATAGTTGTGTCTAATGGCTAAAAGCACAAAAGATCACACCTGGAGAATATTTAACAACGGAGATGATTTCATTGCCGTCTGTATGCATAGAGACGAGATCACGGGTGTCAGTGTCCAGCACTAACCACCTGTAAGATGGCAAAGACAAACAAACAAAAAAATACAGGTTTGAATACTGATGCATCAAATAAGTCAGAATTACAAATATTTAAAGGTCCCCTGACACGGGGTTATTTTATTATTTTATAATGTTTCCTGGGTTGCCCTTATAATGTTAGTATGTTTTTTAGATCAAAAATAGTCATAATTTAGACATAAAAGGCATTTTTCCTAGCCTGATTTTAGCCTCTGATTTGAACGCTCTGTTTGAAGGGGCGTGTCCCTGTGGGTTTTTGCAGGGGCGTAGAATTTAGTAGGGACGATAGGGACGTGTCCCTACCAATATCCAGTGACACTGATATATCCCTAGCAATAATTTCAATCAAAACTTAAAATATATTTATAGATTGATGTCCCCGTCCCCACCAATTTCAAAATCAAACCTACCCCACTGTTTCAGTGTAACCGCCCACTGCTGTGATTGGCTGACATGCTTGCACATGAAATAGCTACGTATTACATGTGAAACTCTCTCGAATACTTTTACTACAGCTATTATACGTTTTTACTATTACAGCTATGCAGATTAACGAATCGTGAGAAGTTTTTAAAGTATTTAGATCTATTCCCATCACATAAAATGTTGCCGTGATGAGCATTGAGCAAGCAGATGACAGTCTGTTGATCACGAGAATGATCTTATCATTGCAACGCAGTTTCTGCACTCTCTCTAATGCTTTCACCAATGCAAACACGATGATGTACATACAGGAAGAGCTTCGTTGTGCAGTGTAACGTGCGTCATTGATTTCATAACGAGTTGTCCAGATAAACTCGCGCTGTGTGGAAAGATTGTTCTTTGATCGCTTTCTGTATAATTTGTTCACAATTTAAATAAGATTATTTTCATCCTACTAAAAGAAATGATGTGAAGTTGATATTTTAGTCACTGGCTTGACTTACTGATGCATAAACAGTATTAAACGATTTTGAGAGAAAGATTACCTGTCTGAACTTGAACAATTAGGCTACACATCAGAAATTGTAGCTTGGTAGCTCGATCGATTAATTTTCAGACTTTCATCGAGGCCAGCTCTATTGGCCCAAGTTGAGGAAACAGTCGTCGGTGAAATGTTTGGACCATACAAAACTTTGGGAAGTTGTGTCGGCGCATTTCCAGAGAAAATAAAATTAACCCATTGTTTTTTCAGAGGCTCGGATGAAGGAACTAAAAAATACTTTTGTGTTCATTTGTACATCCGAACACTGATCAACTGCCATGCTTCGCTCGTTTGCAAGCCATGATATCTCTCGAGGAAAAACTCAAATCACGCTCGCGCGTTCGTACTTCCTAGCTCATTTTCTCCTGGGCGAGCCAAATTCTCTGGGCGGGCAAAGCAGAGAAAGGGGAGGTTACCTTTCCTCCGTATGACGTCATACGGAGGAGATTCAAGATCAGCTCGTCTGAGCTTTCATTTTCTCAAAGGCAGAGAAAGATAGCCAAAGTTCGGTTTACACCGATTTAAATGCTAAATTTACAGGCTAGGGGAACTCATAATAATGTTAAAAAAAACCTCAGAAAGTGAAATTTTCATGTCAGGGGACCTTTAATTAAATGTACAGGTGAGGGAAAAAAAACATCCCAATTTTAAATATTTCTGCATTATTTTTTGTTGTTGTTGAAAATCAGCTGATTGACATGTAAAGTAAGTCAAAAATCATTTTAAAGTTCCCATGTGCAACCATACCTTCCTGTCATGGTGCCCACAGCAAGCACAGGGGCTTTGGGATGAAATCCAATGCTACGCCCAGGGTCCTAAAATAAAAATAAATACATAAATAAAAATACATAAATATTTTTTTTTAAATTATACCATGTAAAAAAACACACATTATTTTTAATATTTTAATCATTTTATATTTTAATATCAGTATAAAAACAATAAAAATAAATACATAAAAATATATTTTACATAATGTAAACAAATAAAATTACATTTTATATTTTGATTTATTATATTGCTTTTTAATATAATATATATTAAACAAAAATAAATATCAAAAATATATAATTTATACAATGTAAAAATAAAATATTACATTTTATATTATATGTAGTATTGTAATATAATTTGCAATATTTTAATATATTAATATTAAACAATAAAAATCTAAAATCAATATGCATAACAGAACATTCTAACAACGTCTAAAACAAACATTTGTCCTCAAAGTGAACATACAGTATACAAACTAAAACAAGCAAAGCAGATGAGATTATTTTTTAGCATGATTACACATCACTGGAATGTAAGTGTAAAACAGTTTCATACAAACCTCGATGGCCTTGCTCCATAGAGGCAGATGAGAAGTTGTGTCCCAGAGATAGACCTGCTTGTCTTGACCACATGTCACAAACTGTTCAGTACTGGGATGCACATCCAAGCCCCACAACTCATCAGTGTGACCCTTTCACAGATGGAAAACATAGAGACCAGGGTAAGAATGGCAACAATGACTTGTGCTTATTACCTTTGGACAGGTAGAATTGATTATTGATACCATCCATTTCAGATAAATACCCATCAGGCATGTAAACACATAACTGTAGTTGGTTGGTTTACATCTGGTCTCTTCCTGGACAAGTGTGCATCTTTTTGGCTAGTATAAACTGCAATATGGCCAGGACCGTCCTTAGGGGGGTGCAATCGATGCGACTGCACCGGGCCCCCGATTTAGGGGGCTTCGGCGAACCGCGACGAAACACGTCCACAACCCCCCACCTACTGAACTCGCCAGTGCGAGTTAGCAGAATGCTTGGGACGGCCCTGTCCATGGCATATGCCGTTTACATTCTGAGGTCTGGCTACATGAGACTGAGGAAAAATGTTGTGATCTTGTTGACTTTTGCCAAATATATAAGGCCAAAAGGCATCCAAACACAAGGTAATATAATCTGACAACCTATACCTGAACAATAGGAGTGAGGGAACCAGAAAAAGAGCCCCGTAAAACAGCGTTTCGGGTTGTTCCCACAAACAGCTCGTCCTGTTTTCCTTCAGCTAGAGTGCGGACAGGGCCGAAAGCCTCAGGAACCTGATTACAGAGAAACTATGATAAGGAACGTGTAATCTGTACATCTCAGCTAATACATGATTTGTACGAGTTGTTCTAAATTGAGTGAACTCAGTGCTGATGTAGCTGAATCTAATAAATAAGATGCCTGGATTACATTTCAGTACTAGGAATACGATAACATCATACCAATAAAAGTCGTTTTTGAGGGTATATGGCGAACATTAAAAGTACGTATCCATTTCAGTGTTTCTCTCTGCATTTCATTATAAAAGTGAAAATGAAAGAACAAGACAACAACTTCACCTCAATCTCGCTCTTTTTGCGGTAGTCATGGTCCCACTGCAGAACCCTGCGGTCTTTCCCTCCTCCTGACACCAGCGTTCCATCCTTCAGCACACACAGAGAGAAGATCCCACCCTCATGGGCTCCCGAAACCACCTGGCTGATCCTGTTCCCTCCTTTAAATCAGAGTTCATCATCAGATCATAGGCTGTACTGAGGGAATATCTCCACTAAAAACAGTCACACAGATGAAGGTGCTGTTTTTCTAACTGCCGTTACATAAATAGATGGATTAAATACAATTTATTACTTAAAAATGTGGCATTTGGATAATTATTTTGGCAGAGCAAATAATGGCATAATTATTTGCTGACCTTTAGCCCAGATGTATATGTTTCCACTAGAATCTCCGGTGATTGCATCTCCATTCTCAGCAAAAGCGATGCAGAGTACATACTTGGGTTTTTCATGTTTCTGAAAGCATACCAAAAATATGAATACACTAAATAAAATCATCATAAATGTTCCTAGATTTCTGTGCTATGCAATGTAATGCAATAAAATAAAATTCACATGCAGGCAATAAACTCAAAGATACTGTATCACTCATTGCTGACTTTGTATATTATATATATTAGTCGGAATACTGAAAAGTTAATGATGCAAACCTCAAACAGTCCCTGGCGTTTTGTAAGAGTACTCCCTTCCATTGTCCAAAAGTTGATGTGAGACTTCCCGCAGGTGACAATAAGGCTGGCCTCCATGGGGTGGAAGACAGCGCCCAGCACTGAGTCATTGGAACACTGCAAAATTGTGAGTGGATATTTGACACAAAACAAGATGCATTCTTCCTTTAGTCTAAAACGAAGTGGCAAATTTCTTACTACTTTTCAGTAAGCACATGTCAAGACATCAGTGACCATTGCACACTATTAAAATGTTAAATTTGTGATAATTTTAGCATTTTAAACATTTAAATACTTTCAAATCTACCTGAAACAGCTTGAAAAAGAATATTCCAAGAAAAAAAGAAAGAAAAAAAACCTTGATTTTATCCATCACAAATTTATTCAATTGTGGAAAGTGGGTGGGAAGGGGTTAAAAATATAAAGACATATTGTTTATGTCAGGAAAGTAATTTCATAGGCCGCACAAGTCATTACATTACAAGATTAAGAGGGCAAACATGACATCTTCCAGCTGAAAATGCACACGTGTGTGGTCAGGGCTTTAAACCACCTGGTCTGTGAACAATCAGGTTTCTGTTATTAAAAGAGATAATCAAACAAGGAAATTGTACGGCAGGTCTAGTATTGCTGCTTTAAAACAGCATGCCACCTCACCTTAACCTCCGCTAGTTGCTTTTCTTTCTGCCAGTCCCAAACAGACAAAATGTGATCATTTGCATCGTCAACCACACACAAATGAGCACCACCATTCTGTGAAGAGGAGAGGTATTATATCCATGTAAATACCATTGTTCATTCAGCCATTCATCACTGTTCAAATATTCATTGCCTATACCCATTGTGCACTTTTCTCATATATCATATGGCATCAAAGCACACAGATTATTTATTAAGAACTTAAAAAAGGAAGCTTACCGACTTTGAGAAGGCAACACAGGTGGCGGCTCGGTCGAACACACCTGCTCCGATCACATGAAGAGTGTTCAGACTGACCGAGTCCCAGACGCGGACATGAGGCTGCAAAAGCTGACAGGGAAACAATGATTCACTTCTTATATGCATATGAATGGAGCATCTTTAAATTAGATTAAAGGAATAGTTTATGGTTTTAAAAATGTTCTGTTATGCCCACCAAGGCCGCATTTATTTGATCAAAAATACAGTAACGACAGTAATATTGTGAAATAATCTTGCAATGTGAAATAACCGTTTTCTATTTAAATATAATTAAATGTATTTTTTCCTGTGATGGATACCAAGCATTTATTTGAAACAGAAATCTTTTGTAACATTATCAATGTCTTTTCTGATACTTTTGATCAATTTAATGCATCCTTTCTGAATAAAAGTATATTACTTTAAGGCTAATATACATTGCAAATGGCTAAAACACTGATGCAAACTGTTATGAGCACAGTAGTTTCATTCCTGAGCACACAGAAGGCAGGATTAAGCCGAAAGATCAACGAATCTTTATGCTGCTACACAATTTTAAATGTGAACTAACTTTGCCATCTTTGGATGTTCCGGCAACTTGTCCTGTTGCTATAGTGACCATGTCTGGATGGATGGCCAAACTGCAAAGAGAACATTGTCAGGATCAGTGCTTGTCAGAAAAGATTTCCCATCTCTCTCTCTCTCTCTCTCTCTCTCTCTCTCTCTCTCTCTCTCTCTCTCTCTCTCTCTCGCTCTCTCTCTCTCTAGGGAACAGTAAATGAATGCAGTCTGATCCAAGAAAAAAAACAGTAAACAGGTTGCAACAGTTTTGCAAACCAGCAGGGATTTTGACAGTCACAGAGAAAGTATTCCAGTGTTATTTTAATTAGCAACCAATGTTAATTAATAATTTTTAGCATGTTGCCGCTCAGTTACAACTGTTATTTTTTTTACAGTCTATGGTTATAACAGAAGAAGTCTACATAAAATAATCTCTGAACAGTTAATAGTATAAGCATTGCCTGGCAGCCAAACAGCATAAAAAGAACACAAGGCAGAAGAGATCTAGTTTGATTGCAGGTATATTTGAATATACTGCGGGATTCGCTTATCTTGAAGATAAGAGTCTGTTAAGCCAAGCAAGATCTGGTACTACAAATGCAAATTTGCTCAGAAACTAGCAACACTTCCTGAGTACATTGGCTCTTTTTGTTGAATGATGGCGATACAGTGGTACAATATATTTGTTCATGAAGCTGATAAGCACAATGATAAGATCTTTTGGACCTTTGAACAATGACCTAATTTGAGAATAATCTGCAGGAAATCGGAAATGCTTTTTTCTCTGTATGACGTCATCAACACTAGACTGATTTCTCTCCCGTAGTAGTTTCACCAGTGCCTTTTAATCTTCATTAACAGTAGAGTAAATGAGCAAAAGTATTTAACTTACCACTTGACATCATCATTATGGCCCAGATAGTGTCTTTGTTGCTGCTCTTCTACATTGTATAGCACCACTACCGAAGCATTGAAGTACACAATCTCTCCCGTCGGCAACAGGTAGAGGTTGGAACGGCAGTCTCTTCCCCTATAGCCGTAACTAATAAAGTGTGTTAAGAAATAAAAAGCTTTTTCATTGATACGTGCTTTTAAAGCTGCAGTCCGTAACGTTTGGCGCTCTAGGGGTTAATAAACAGAAGTGCATGCGTCGTGTTTATGTCTATGACGAGTCACGCAGGTACTGGGCTACTCCGCAGCGGTACGACTGTCTATGGGTACGACACAGACCAGTCTAAAAACACTCATTATAGGTGTACCGTAGTGATTCAGGATAAGACAAAAACACGGTTTGGAAAATGATTTCATGATGTACTCGCTTATTATATACATTGTGTAAATTTTGAACAACATTTTTTTTTACACAGACTGTCGCTTAAATTAGCACTTTTGTGTCACATATTTCAAATGGGTTCATAAGCATTTCATTTCAAACTATTTAGGAAATAAGCTGACATTTAATTGAAAATCACTGATGCACTTTAATTATTAATTGTACTTGAAAAGTTGATAGCAATTAATTAAATTGTTGGCTAAATTATTTAAAAATAATAAGAATAAAATGTACATAAACAACTTCAAAATGATCTATCAAAATACATCATTGTTCATTAGAATATCTGCACAATTCACTTTAGTTACATTATAAAATAATTTTCAGCTAAATCACAAGGATACACCCACTGAAGTTTTAGCTTGCGCTCTGGCAGCGCCACCTTGTGGTCAAGGTTGTAGGCTTCCTTCTGCTGGTCTGGAATATGCATGGTGATTGGACGTCCACGTATGAACATCCGAACGTAACCATCATCTGTTCAAGAAGGACAGAAATGTTAGCGGCCAAACAGAAACAAGCAGTAGGCCTAAACATGGTTTGTTAAGGATGATTTGTCAAATTATCCTGGCCCTACTGACTATATTCACTTAGAAACCAACTTGCCCATTACAGAATGAGACTGGCTGAAAGCATTACGTCGATCCATAATAGTTTTTATCTGTAATGAACACGATAATGGGATCAAGTCAGGCTAATATATAATTTCCCATAACACAGGGCCCAGTCTCTCCCTGCACTGCTAGTTAAACATAGCCAAACAAATGTTACATGCATTTATATATGAAAAAAACATGCTTTTTCCTCCACTGGAGGAAAGTTTATATGTAGTTTATATGTAGCAGTGTTATTTTAGTATTATTTATATACTATTTTGAATTAGGTTTCATTTTTATACTTTGTATTTTAATTATAATTTTGTTATATGCTTTTGTCGTTTTATTCTTTTCTATATTTCTATGTAGCTTCCATTTATTTGATATCAGTTTTAGTAATTATGAGTACCTAAGCTTAAACTTACTCATGCAGCATTTTTTATTTATTTTCTAATTTTTTCATCGTATATTTATATTTTATTCCAGCTTTATTTCAGTTTACAGTTGACACATAAAGCACTAAAGGCAATACCAAACAGCTATTGATTTCTCGCTCAATATAAAAAGGACTTTTGTTTTTATTGGGTGATATAAATCAAATTACTTCAAAACAGATGAAAACTTACCAGCATTGAAGGTGCACTCTTTGGTTTTGCTGAAAGACCAAAAGAGAAAGATGTCAGTCATTCATTCATTCCTTCACAGACAACAAGCCAGACAAAAACAGCGCCATAGATTAAACAAACTTTCTAAAGAACATTTCTGAAAAGTTTTCGTCTTTGACTTGTCTTTTGTATGAGGATGACTAATTCATTGAGCTCATCCATTAATACTGACCCAGCTTTCATGTGGCCTCTCATAGATCTGTGCAATGGAGAAAACATTGAGCTAATGCAACAGGAGGAGAGGGGCACCCAAAACTGCTTTCAACTAAATACAGGAAGTTTCAGAGCTTGTTTACATGACTAAACACATTTGGTGGGGTGCCAGCACTGGTTGTGATTTTGATTTTGGAAAACGAACATGGACAAAATTGCTCTAAATGTAGAGGCCTTGATATATATACAAAAAGATTAAATGTTCAATTTGTGTCTGTGCGTGCATTTTGTAGCTGCTTTTAAGAACCACACAGTTTTCCACTTCCTCTGTGCTGATGCAAGACTGTCATGAGTGACAGCCTGTCTTAGACAGCTGAAAATAATAAATTAGACACATCAATCCAGCATTATTTTCTGGAATACGTTTGTGGAACTCAGGGATCCTCAGAATGGACAGCAAACAGGACAACTGGACCTTTCTATATAAGAAGGCAAAATGAAATGTTATGTAAAGGGAAGACAGAAGGATCGTGGGTGCCGTCGAAAAGAAACGCTCCCACAATGATCTGTTTGTGTCCAGGCATGCAGAAACCATCCAAACACTTCATTAAAGCAACGATTGAACCAAAGCAGGTCACACCAAAGCAAGCCAATCTCTAATAACACCAGTTTAGAGAGAGTGGTTTAGGCCAAAATCAAACAATACTTTCATTAGCCAGTGTGGTGTATATATATATATATATATATATATATATATATATATATAGGCCTATATAAATTATTGTGCATTTGCAGCCATTCAGCCATCTAAACTTTTTTTTTTTGGAGGAAAATATGTGAGGAATGTGAGGAATAGTTCATATTACTTGGATCCACATAGGGTGTGTTCCTTTTATTTTTTTCTCAGCAAGCATGCTGTTAATTGTAAGCAATGTATGTTGTTTATGGACATTTATGGAACATTTCAGTACTCACACACCTGATTTTTAGATGATGGCACACAAAATGGCAGCTACTCTGGCAACATTTTCTCAAAAGCACATCCCGGGAAAATCTATTTTACCAGTAATGACCCTAGGCTGTGTAGCAACCAAACTCAATATGATGCAGTGAGTACTATGCACCACTAATGTGCATGACCTCATACTAATGCACTGACTATGCACACACCCATTCATACCACACACAGTGCGGGTGACAATTTGACAATTCATGGATTTTATACATGAAAATCACCACACAGTATCTTTACAGATACATGCATGCACAGTATCTTTACAGAATAAATCAAATCTCTAAAGCAAGTGATTCACTAAAAGCTTCTGTTGAAGTTCTCTGGACATGATGTCCTTCAAACCATTTTATTTCCTGATGTAAGCACTCACTCTAATTTGCCTTCAAAGCGCTGTGTGTGTGTGTTTGTGTGTATGTGTGTGTCAGTGGGTGGGTTTCATGTTTAATACATACAGCTGAGCAGCAGTAACAATCAATATCTAACTCAAATTGCTAGCTAAGCAATGCACTAAAGCAATTAGTAAAATGCATGCATTATATGTATTACATTACTTAAATGGGAGTTAAATGGATAACAAGGATTCAGCCTGACAATACCAGATGGAAACAAGCAATCAAAACCAGATGGAAACATTCACATTCTTGCTAAATGACTCACAAAATGATGCAAAATTGCCCTAAAAAAAGCTAAATGTTGTCACATTCCATCAATGTTTTTAAAGTTTGCTCATAGTCTTTTGTTCCCAATTGGGAAGTTACGTCACCAACTTAGCCCAGGTGCGTTCGCTTTGTTTATCTATAGAACCCATGATGCTGTGAATATTCTTGTTTGCCTACCAATGTTTGCTTTGTTGCAGGAAGCTGAAAGCAATTAAATTATCAACCACAACCTCACCCTTTAACTACCAAAAGTATTTCTTTTGAAGACCTTAAAGATCTTAACAAGAACATGAGCTTTACCTTGTCGACCTCTTCATGTTGTTTTTCCCGTTATTCAGTTTAAGTGCAAGCTGGAGTTTGCTGAAGCGTCAAGCAAAAGACTGAGTTCCTTGTTTGAGTTAACTTAAGCTCTGCAGGAACATGGACCTCGCTAACCAATGGGAGGACACTTCCTCAGTGTGCATGACAGCCCTTTTCTGGGTGACCACACCCCCCAATGCAGTAACATGAAGCACTCTGTGGTCAGGAGACTGTTTCAGTGGTATGTGTGTGTGTGTGTCAACCAAGTGACTGCGAAGAGCTGCCATGTGCCATACAAACAATCATCATGCCATAAATATAAAACTACTAAGGTGTAGGATTATCTGCTGTACAAACATCCTGCAGGAGCTTGGTGGAAAACCTGTTGGAACTGATACTTAACCCTTTAGTAGGAAGAAGCTCTTATTATGTAGTAGTTTGCGATAGCAACAAAGGTTTATGGACTCATATGATGACAAGCTTGAAGTTTTCTCTATTCAAATGTAATTTTTACCCTCCTTTTCACTATAAAAATTAATTGAATTGAATTGAACACTATATTAAGTGGTAACCTGGTTAATTGATTTCTTTTTATGAAATTTTAGTAAGAGTTTTCCAGTGGTTGCTATTCAGCTCTGACAGTCAGGATCTAACACTTTTATTGACAGATCTCTAGCTTGAACATCAGTGTTTACCTTCCTTCCGGCAACTCCATGTATACTCACCATAAATTATTTATGACTATTTGATCACATTGTTCCTAAGCCTTCTTCGTGTGTGCACCACGAACACACTTAGTATTTGAAATATCTCACTTAACAAGAAAAAAAACAGTATACATTAACAATACCATTCTAAAGCTTGGGGTTGTAAGATCTTTGAAATGTTTTTGAAAGAAGAATTTTATGCTTTTTTATTAGATCAAAAATTATGTACATTTTTTTGGTAATATTGTAAAATATATTTTCAATTTAAAATAACTGTTTTCTATTTTAATATATTTTAAAATGTAATATATTAAATTTAAATTTTCAGCATCATTACTACAGTCTTCAGTGTCACATGATCCTTCAGAAATCATTCTAATATGCTGATTTGGAAACCATCTTGATTATTGTCAATGTTGAAAACAGTTGTGCTGCTTAATATGATTTGTGGAAACCATGATACATGTTTTTTTTCAGGATGAAATGATGAATAGAAAGTTTAAAGAACAGAATTTATTTGAAATGCAAATCTTTTACTGTTGTAATCTTTTCACTTTGGATAATTTTAATGCATCTCTTTACTGACCCCAAACTTTTGAACAGAAGTGTATATTGTTTATATATACCAACATTAAGGTAATAAAACATGGCTAACTCTGTTTCTGTGAACCAGAACACACAATGTTAACCTTTAACAATTGCAGTACCATTCTATTTAAATAAAGAAAGGCCTAAATAGGCAAAGCTGTACATTTCATAACATATTTCAAATCAGCAATACAAATACAACAATAATATCATCATCTGATTCAGCTTAAGTCATGGTCTAATATTTTATGGTATAAAATGCTGCCTATAGATGGTCCTTCACTTCCCCTACTGTCTCTGGTGTCTTGCTGACCAAAAGTATGGCTTTGTCATCTAATTAGACACTGAAGTAGCCTCTATTTTTAGCTGTGTTGACTAGTCTCTATCTTGTACTAGTCTCAAGGCTTGGAAGGAAAGAGTTTTCATCTATGTGTACAGAAAAATCATTGAGTTTAATGCACTTTATTTAGATGAAAAGGTACCTGTCTCTCTTTCCACTTGTTGAGCTGCCAGATGAGGTGGTTCTGCTGCGGGAATCGGCCATCTCCTTCTTCACTGTGGAAAGGCGTTCTGTGGACATGCTCTTCCTGACACACAGAGACAAGAGTAATGAGTGAGGCACAATGCAGAGAACAGGAAAGATGGACATCAAAGGAATGCCAGTCTGGATGGAAGTATTAAACAACACAGCAGGCTCTTTGTGGTGTTATGGTAGGACAACAAGCATTTTCTCAAGTCCACATGAATACAAATGATTAATATTAATTATGAATTTTTATATTAACTATTAATAAATCATAAGGGACCATTACAGCTCTCTTAAGTAAAAGTTTTCAGGTACTTAATTATAGGGATCTTTTAGGCTAAATGTTCCAAATGGTTTATCACTCAATACCGCCATCTTGAGGTCGAGAAGTAATACTGCACTGATGTTGTTGAGCAACAAATGTCTTGGTGTAGAATAAATGCAAATATTTCCACCATGTACTACTTTAATGTGTGATACCAGCATGTCTTTCAATAAAATGGCATTTGAAAATGTGTAGAGATAATATGCAATAAAAATGATATATATCTTGCATATAACTCTCACCTTTTGATAGACATCAGTACCTCCTTTTTCGGAGAGGAGGGAGAGGAAGGGTAGCCACTCAAACGTTTTGTTTGCACATAGCCATTTGTCAAAGGCTTGGATGGCAGAGCTTGCAGTATCTGACGAACTAAATCAGGAAGGAAGAAACAGAGGAACACAGCGAGATGACATGCAAATTATCTTCACCTCCCACATGAATTATGTAACCACTATATAATGAATTACAATACATCCCTGTTTGAAATATCCTATAACAGTTAAGAAACTTGAATGCTAACACAAAGGTTACATCTCAGAATGCACCCTTAGGAAAGGTTACCCTCAGATTATCAGTTTAAATTGCTTTAGATGGAAAAATATCTTCCAATTGTCAGTTTTCTAGGGTCTAAACACGTGACGTAATGATAATAAGCAGAGGGCCACGATGAAGCTCTGACCTTTAGTAGGTCCATGTTTCTTGCTGCTGGTCTGTGTGATCTCCTCACAGCAGCCCAGCCTTCTCAAAGCATCCGCCAGCGCCGCCTTCAGCAGCTGAATCTCGTCCTCCTGCAGCTGCACCCTCTGCTCCAGGTGAGAGAGACGGTCATCCATCTCCATCCCACTTCCAGCTGATACATTGTCATCTGAAAGAGACAAGCAGATAGTTATAGCATTAGAATTTGTACAGTACAATTGGTCCAAAGCTGTTAAACTTTCTTCTGTGGGACACAAAAGAAGATATTTGTGTGCTCCAAAGAAGATAGTCATACAGGTTTAGGACAGCATGAGCATTTTCATTTTTGAGTGAACTATCCCTTTAAATCAGTGGTTCTCATTCCAAGTCTCCCATTAATCCAATATACAATCAAAGGCCCCCCAATATAAGGTAAGATATTTCCTCTGGTATTTCTGATGTAATTATGATAACGCTGCTTGTTTTTCAAATTAGTATTAACAGAAACTGGGATTGTTGATAAATTACTTGCACAAAATTAATTTTGTGATTCTAGAAATTTCAAGGACTATGTAAAAAAAAAAAATGTATTGGGGTTAAAAAATAAATGACTGCAGTTTACATATTAATAATATAAATTTGATTAATAATAATTTATGAAATAATTTTAAGTCATCTTGCTTTCCACTTTTAAATGGACATCAACATCGCAAATCTAGTAAAGTTGGTCATATTTAAATTTTTATAAAATGTAATATACATTTATAGTGTTATATTTCCGTTTCAGTAAATGTCAAATAAATTAATTGACGCTGCTGAGGGTGTTTCTAATGCAACGGCTGAGGGATTGACGGCAAATTTGACACGTGGAAAGTTCACTTTAATTCACAGACTTGTTGGACATTAAAAACTGTACTATGTCTTTGCATGACAGAATATAAAAACAAATAGCATTTACTTTAATGAATTATAGCACAACATTTTTTTCAGCTAAACATTTGAAATGATAAAACAATGCAAATATTATATCAAATAAAGACAAAAAGTATTTGTACATGTGTGGTTTCCTTTCTAGCACACCTGTCACTTCATACATTGACTAAAATGTCCTGTTGGTTATTGAAAAAAAAAGTGATGGTAGTTCTAAGAAAAGCTTAGTCATTTGTTTGCAGTTTGCACTAACAATTTTTTTTTTGCATTTTTAAATGTTGGAAAACTTTCAACATGAAAACATCTGTGATTAAAAGAGAGATTACATTGGCACTTTGATGAATTTTTACCCAATTTTACTCGACAAAAAAATCCGAAAATTATTAAAAAGTTGAAAGCATGAGTGGACAATTGAGCAAGTTTCAAATGCTGATTCAAAGTGTCGGCGATATGGTGTATTGCTTTTAAATATACAACTTATAAACAAAATAACAAAAATCACACAATAATCAAAACCAGAAGGAAAATTCCTGTCCCATTTACATTTTTCCAAATGTAGCTCCTCAATATCATATTTCACATAAAACAGTGGCTCCGTCTCTGTTTCAATCTCAAAGGCAATGCAACGGGCTGCATGCTAAGTGTGCATATAATAAACCTCTGTTAGTGCCTGCACCTGCTAACACATGGAGATCCCATCCATAAAGTGGCATCAGCAGGTGGTGAGCATGTCAACTGAAATAATAAAAGTGAAAGAAAATAGGAGGCAAAAGTGGAAGGTGAGAAGAAAGCAGGATGGAGCTATAGTGATGCTGGAAGACAAAAGCAGTCTGGAGGAAACCGGATGCTCAGTAACCAAGCGCACTGAAATATTCATCATCCCGCTCTGCTTGTATTCCCCTCCTACCTGCCATTCCAGTCAGTACTATGTCCGCCTGTCAGACACTCGCTCAGACAGCCTGATCCGCTGCAGCTCTCTAGGGGTTTCCTAAAGGTGCCAAACGCCTGCCTGGCCAAAGATTCTTTCTCCCACCTTCCCCTTGGCTTGCTGGATGGCTGATCCCGTGTCTGGACCTTCCTTCCTCACCCTCCCCCACCCTCAGTGCTGTGTGTAGAGGAGAAGGGTGATGTTTGTAACAGGACGCTGTTCCCCGTCTCCTATGCGGTAGAAAACTGCTGGATGTGCTGTTGGCAGAGAGAGAGGTTTGGCTCGACTCCAGACCTGTTAGCCAGGCACTATCAGGAAGTGCACTGACCAGCCTCTCCGTTAAAAGCACACTGAAGTGTATGTCAGTTTGACACTTTACGACTTGTTGTTTTATACCCCTGGGACGCATGCCCATTTTCTTATCATTTGAATCAATACGATTCACATCAGGGATTTATAAATGCATTCAACTTGTTAATATCATAGTCTGACCTTAAGATCTTCATGTACAACATTTAAAATCAGCCTAAACCATCCAACTGTACAACATGGATAGACCCATCTGACCCAGTCTCATCATGACATACTGTCTACCCATCCATCTGTCGGTCAGCCAAACCATCTGTCTGTCTGATCAAAGCTGGTAATATTTGAAATAACCAAAAACAAACACACCCCAACCGAAACAGATCACACCCCATATTGGATAGCCCCGCCCCCAAATTCACAAACACACTGGCGCAGGCACCTCACCCTTAATGAGTGCATACGCCCCTTGCAGCTGATTGGCTATAAGTGTGTTTTGGCCAAGCGGCAACCATCCGGTCTCTCTCCTGAATCCAACACGGAAGTGACTTAAACTGCAATTAATCGACTAGCCGCTAGAGACAGGGTCCAAAAGAGAGTCAATCACATATACCCTCCATGTTAAAATGCCCAACTTTACAGCAGAAAAAAAATGTTTACAGCCCGGTACAAAAAGTGTTTTTTGGTCTATAGCTAATTTTGCCCTTCATGACAACTGCGAGGGTGGTGAATTTATTTCATAACTCATCCGTTTAAATTATATTAAGCCTTAAAGTTCTGCATAATAAAGGGCGTGGCCACTTGAGTGACAAGTGGATTGCCGCTGCTGTCACTATTAGCCGCTGCTGTCTGTTAGCCGTCACTTCACCTCAGCTAATCCCGCCTCTTTGCCCATTTTCGGTTATCCGGGAGTAACACGCTGCCAATATGGCGACGGCCTGCTATGCCCACTTTGGGCTTCAAAAATTCTCTTTAGGAACCTACGGGTGACGTCACGGACACTACGTCCATATTTTTTTTTTTTTACAGTCTATGGTTTTAGCGCTTGGTCTGATCCACTTTCAACAGCGTTTCTCAAAAATCGCTTACTGCACCTGTAAATTGCTTTGAAATATTTGCTTATTGATTTGCATCGGCTGTATAGAACTTTCTGTGGTTTTGAAATGTATTTTATATCAGTGGTTCTCAACTAAATGTATTCTATATCAGTGGTTCTCAACTGGTAGGCCACGAACCCAAAATGAGTTGCAGGTCTATTCTGGGAAAAACTATTATAAATGGAAATAATAAATTGCAACTAAACATAGAATCATTCAGCTAAGATAGCAGAATCAATAGGCTTATCATCCTTAATAGGCGGGAGAAATATCTTATCGTATCCATATCTTTTGTCGTTGAGGTCAAAGGACACGTGTTCAACAAACGTTATGGTATTTTGACGCACATTCATCAGTTGGTAAAGTGGACAATACTAATGCAATATTTAGCTAAGTGTTTTATACGGGTAAATCACATTTCTGCTGTTCTTCACAGTATGCAAAATTGTCAGACGTGTGTCAATTTTGCCTATGCATTGTCATGGTAAAATTCTGTATGATAATCAAATCTGGTGCTCTGCTGGGTCACCACTTTACATAATTACAAATATGGGTCCTACAGAAAAACTAGTTGAGAACCACCGCTTTGAAGATAATATATTTTGGCTAATGTTTGTTAATGATTAGATCATTGTATTAGTCATGATAATGCTCAAAACAGACATGATGTTCACAACTAATATATTTTGGCTAATGTTTGTCAATGATTAGATCTTTGTAGTCATGATAATGCTGAAAACAGACATGATGTTTACATCTAAGCTTCAAGGTATTGTTATCATAGGGATAACCCTGGTAAATCCATCTTAATAGGTGGGTAATGTTATTCAATAGATGGCTCACAATAAATAAGCAACTTAGTACATTCTTTCCACTAAAAACTTAGCTGAAACCAAACAACAAAGCCCAAGTGAAGCAAGCTGAATCAGATTTGCTGAGGATGAGAGGCTTCAAGCATATCAAAAGCTGATGAGAAAATTAATACAAATGTAAACAACACACATGATAGCTAGGATTGTAATTCTCAAATATCTTTCAAGAGCCTGAATCTGGGTAGATGTTCATCCTTGTACCATGACACTGATCACAACCGCACATAGCCTATACGATAAGAAAATATTTTAGGGCAGAATGAAATTTGCATGTATACAGGATATAAAACTGGTCAGTAGTTTAAACAAATAATATTCATCACATAACCCTGAGACAGTTTCTTTTGTTGTGCCCTCGCAGGCAGTGACGCACTGACACGACAATAACATTACATTGCTGGAATGTTGATATAAAACTGATTGATATCAAAGACAAGACGTTTGAAATGGAAATGGAAACGAAAACAAACCATCTCGTGTGGCTCTCTCGCGCATTCATTATGAATGCTCAGTCAAGTCGCTGGCAAACTTACCGTTGCAATACCGAAGCAGAAGGGTGTTCGTGTCATACAGGTTCCCACATGAGGCTACTCGCTCCGACATGTCCTTCTTCTGATCAATTCCTTTATTATTTCTCTCTTAATCGCCGGTCTTCAGATCCGCCAGCCTACTTCCCTCACATACGAGTCAGCGCCTTCAACACCTTTCCACCGAACAGCCGACGACAACCTGTGCTGCCTGCGTTTCTATAGCAACAGCCTCACCGCTGGTCTGCTGCTACCCAGAGGGAACAAGAGTGCATGTTTACTCTTGGAGTCCCATAATATGCAGTCAGTACTCCCAGTTTTAGCATGATTTAAATATAAATATATATTCAGATATGAGATGAGAGGCAGGTTAGTCAAATTAACAAGCCCTGAGGACAAAAAACACATCGATCTATTTAAATGTTTTGCACAGGTAGGCTATGAATAGGCTATTTCCTTATTGCCTGTAACAGGTCTAAAGATATATCTTGTGAATTTACTTGCTAATGATGCTGGTGTCATAAAATGTCCTTGACAGTCAAACAACTGTTATTTCTACTCTTTAACATTAGATGGCAGTGCAGGTCTGACAAAAACATGGGCTATTCAATAATATCAAGCTGCAAAATGTTATATTTGGCATATTCAGAGAATATGCTACACTTTGGCGTCCCATAACGTTTTTCAAGCACCTGAGCAACAAATTCCAATGGTTTTGTTGCGAGATGGCTATTTGATTAACTATCTAACACTAGCAAAATAAACATTATAGGCTATATTGATTTTTTACAGAGCACAAAAGGGACAAATAACATCATTTCTTTGTACAGAAGAACAACGTCATAAAAACCATCCCCATTCACACGGATCCGCGAAAACAATTAAAAACGCTGTATTATGCCAGGCCAGTAACTTTGTCACTTAAAGAGGTTACGCAACTACGCACGTAACGTTACGCGTTTCCTTTACAGAGCACTTACTAGGCTACACTAAACACGTAGGCTAATACGTTTTCAAAAGTTTGCATTTTAGGCCCCCCAAAAAGCCGTTGTCGTGTAAATGATCGCCATAACGCATACCATTTTTTTTTCGGGGAACACATTTACTAGACTAGAGGACGCAAAAGCATCGAAATATGTTTTAAATTTTTCTCTCATCTCATATTACCAAATGCTCACATTTTTAAGCAAACATGTCGTGTGTCCAGTATTTTCTTTCGGCTGTTTAGAACTAACAATATCGATGCCCAATCCACGAATGAATAACAACTCTTTTGAATCGGTTTCAATGAAATGGTCTACTTTATAATGGCTTGAATCGGTTCGCGATCCAGGCTGAATCATTTGGGTGCTCTCACTGCATCGTTTGAAACTTTTCTCGCTTCACAAAACCTGCAAACTTTAGAACACCGAGAACAAAACGAGCGCTTAATGCAGTCGGATATTTACTGTAGGCTAACGACAAACCATCGAAACAAAACCTGCAAACACTATCGTTTGCCAGCGATGAAGAAAATCTTTATTAGGTTCAACACCTGGCTACAAAATAAGGGTAGGCCTACACTTTTTCTTATTTGATGGAGGGGTCGGTGCACAATGTGGACTAAAATCCCCTAGTATGTAATTTATATACATAGTTAAATACTGTTTAAAAAAAAACGTATATTTGTAGGGCTTTTTTGGGTGTTGCGTGCAGGCTATAGTACGGTGGCCTATGCTCTATATTGATTTCTGTAGTAAGTCCAGCGTGAATTATGTTCGATTGATAACAGACAACTTCTCTGTTAACACGAGTTGTAATGCTGCCTTCACATGCTATTGGATTGTCGTAATATTAGTTTCTAGTTAAAAAATTGCACATGAACTCAAGTCAAAATTTGAATGCATGAGCTTCTAAGTAATCACGACTTCAGAAGGTGGAAAAAGGCTTGCAAACATAGGCTAAGCAATCCTTTTTTTAATATGATTTTATAGTTAATTTTATTTGAATAGGGTAAACAATCCTAAAAACATTGTTGCTGATATGTAATGATTAGGGTTGATACAGATATTGTGGGCAATTGAATTTGCAGTCTACCACTTTGTTACCTTCATGTACCATTTATTTAGTTTCCGCTGCCATATTTTGCCTGATCACTGAACAACTATTCATTACTGCATCAGTGAGAGGTGACACTAAGCCCACAATAGCCATCTTTGAGTTTGTTTATAATTTTCCCTTTCATTAGGCCAAAACAGAGGCGTCTCTTCAGAGAGAAATGACCATTTAATCAGGAAGTGACTTAAGCCAATTGATTCTCAAACCATTTTTGAGCAGCTCTGTCATTCATGA